TGTCCTTTGGCCATTTGTGCTATGATGGGGATGTACTTCACATGCATGTTTATGTGTGAATGTAATTCCTCGATACAACCTGTTTGGGAGTCCCCATTCTGCTTAGTAGCTACTTAGCATATTTCTAACACTGAAAACATGTCATGACTGCAAAAAGGGTGGTTCTTGGTCTTCTGGGATCCTAGGTGATATACGCTGTCTACCTTTCTCACTGCTTGGGGTGCAGCCTTAGATGACGGGCAGCAGGGATTACTGCCTTTTGGCCTCTACAGTCCTTTGTCCAGCTGGCTGGAGTGTGTTGGAGAGCTCCTGGGCCTTTCCTCCCATGGAGAAGGAGGAGTTACTCTTTGGTGGCTGGGCCAGACTGCCCATCTAAGTTCCTTATCTCTGAAAGGTTGTCCTGAAATGAGTGGCCAGGTGATTGGCAAGTGCAGGCTGAAGCTGGAACCCCTAGAGGAGGGGGAAAGGTGGGTGCTTGTGGACATGGAATTTGTTTGCCAGGTGGGAGTGTCTGGAGGCCTTCTCTGCTGTGCCCAACCGCTGGGCTTCCAATACACCCTGCAGTGTCGTTCCTTAATGCCGGCTGGCTTTCTTGGCATCTTTCGGTTTAGTTGCTAGGAAGCCGAATAAGGCAAATGCAACTTCCTTTTGACTTACTCACATTGAACCATCTGCTTATTCCTTCTCATGGCCTTCAAACTTGGCTAGAATCATCGAGAGAGGGTCGAGTAGAGCATCTGTGCTCATCCTTTTTGGAAATGGAATGCTTGCTGCTAACTCTTTAACCCTCTAGGTCCAAATTTATAAGTCAATCTTGTTGAACCCCTCGTTTCTTTCAGTTAGCAATTTGGATCAAGTATTTTCTTCTTGAAGTTGCCTTTCTTTTAGGTTGAAGTCTGTATTAATTAGGTAACCCTTAAATGAGGAAGGTAGTGAATATGTGTGTCAAAATGTATCCGGTATGTAAATATTGTGCCATTGGCCTTACTTGAAGATGTTTAGCATTGGAATCAATGCACACAAATCTTAGGATTTTCGTTTGTGAGCTTCCTTGTGGAATCACTGTCAGATGTTGGTGGAACATCTGTCCAAGAGAAGTTGAAAACAAAACCAGAGATTCTTGCTTTTATAGTTGCCAAATACTTTTGTTGTCACATACTTGGTTTTATCTTTAGTTTAGTTCAGTTTGCAAATCAGATTTGTTATGCTGACGCCATTGCTGCCAGTAGGTTATAATGGTCCTTTCCTGTGAAGAGCGGTGCCTTCAGCTGTTATCTCTGCAGAAGCAGTTGAGCAAACACACTAAGCAAAATTAGAAACAGGTATTACAAAATAGAATGCAGGTTTTGAAAAACAAATCTTGAGAAAAGCCATTGTTCAAGTTTTAAAAATCCAGTTTAACTGAAGACTTAATCACCTTTGAGTGTACCAGAACTGTGGAAACTAATGTCTGAACTATGGGAAATAATTTCTTCTTAAGTGTAATTTTGTCTTTGTTGTTTTTTAGCAATAAGCCATATAAACCTTTTCTGCCAACTTATTCTCCCCAAGAGGGCCACTTAAAGAAGGGTGAAGACATGCTAAGGTAAGATTTTATTGTCGTGGCTCAATTTGCTAAAAGCTTTAGTAGTAATGCAAATGTGTTCTTACTGTGCAGGCCTAGATGTTTGCTAAAATTGGTATTATTAATATTTGCCTTTGAGAAGTCCCTCCGGTCAGGTTGATCATATTAAGCCACTTTGCTCTAACTTTTACCTTCCCGTAGTCATTTGACTTCTAGTAACTAAAATACCCTTACAACAGGAGTGCCTCAGCCACCAGGCCTTCTTCTGGGGAGTTTTTCAGCCCCCTCTGAGTGGGTGACCACTTTGTGCATTCTCTGTAGCAAGCCCTTGATTCCCTTCTTTCACACATTCTTTTGTGCTGCCTTCTAATCATTATTATATGTTCAAAAAATGCAAAGTTAGTTTAAGACAAGTCACCACTCTAGAGCAAAATGTAGATATCAAGTGTTTAAAAATGGCTTGTTTTTATAACCTGAGGAATGGACAGGACATGTAAAAGCACCTGGTAATAAAGTAAAAATCCACTTTTAGGTTCTCTGTTTTGCTCCTTGTTTCCTGACATGTTTGTAAGTTGGTGTGTGTGTCTTTTTCAGTTTTGACTTACCTTTAACAAATTTTTTTTGGAGATAAGCTCTTCCTGTTACCCAGGCTAGCCTTGAACTCCTCACTCAATGATCCTCCTGCCTGAGTCTCTCAGGTGTTGGCACCGTACCCAGTGCCAGTTCCCCTTGTTTTTTAATTCCAGTGGCTCCCACTGGTGTATTGCTCTCGATCTTGTCTCTTTTAGTTAATAACGTGTCATGGAGGATTGCTTATTCTCACTGTGTTAAGCACTGTGTAGTAATCCAGAGTGTGTAAATCACTTTTGAAGGCTACCTTGTTACGTTTACTCTTTTACATTTAGCACTGGGGTTCTTCTATATAGGCACAGGGAAATTGATGTTATAGTTCAAGATCCTCACCTTGGATCTTTCTCTGTGGTTTTGGTAAAAGCAGTTTTCCTTGAACTGTATTTGAATTGATTTTTATATGTATGAACCTTGACAGGACCTCCCTCTTGCCTGCATTAAAGATGAGATTTGTGTCAGATTAAATTAATAATTCAGAATTGAAAAATGCTTTCCTCACATGCAGAAATGCTTGGAAGTATAGAATTCAGGAGTGACTGTTAATGGAGGCTGGTTTCTCAGGTAGTATTTCCTGAAAATGAGACCTGGCATGCCTGCTCCAGTTGGTGATCTTCTGAAGTAGAGATTTTCTTAGCTCCGATTTGAAAGAAACCTAAAGGTCACAGTGGGTAATCGTGGCCAACCCCTTCTGCCCCCACCCCACCTCTGGCCACATTCTCAGGGTTTTACTCACTGGATCCTCCTAAGAACACAAAGATGGGTTCTGTTATCAATCCCCATTTTAGGGGTGAGAGATGAGTCTGATAGCCTTGTGACTGAAGCATGTTAAGTAACACATTCACAGTTACCCATCTAGTAAGTGACAGAGCTGATATTGAAACCTAGACAGTTGCAGCGTCCACATGATACTGTCTTCTCAGGATGGCCCAGGCCCTAGCTTCAGGGAGCCTCTCAACCCTAATCACATGGTAGTGGCGGCAGTGGTGGCGGTAAGTTTACCTACCTCATTAAAACAAAGTGCTTGCCAGGCATAGTGATGCGTACCTGTAGTGCCAGCACTCCGGAAGGCTGAAGCAGAAGGATCACAAGTTCAAGCCTAACCCAGGCAACTTAATGAGACCCTGTCTTAAAATAAAAATTACAAAACAGGGTTGGAGCTGTAGCTCATTGTAAAGGCCCTGGGTTCAATCCTCAATGCTATTGAAATAAATAAATACATACATAAATGAAATAAGGAAAAAAGAAAAAAATAAGCATATACCAGCTGGGGAAGTAGTGCAGGGCTAAAGCTCTTGGCTGACATATGCACTGCACTGGGTTCAAACCCCAGTACTGTTCATCAATAAGTAAATAACTGGAGGGAAGGAAGGAACAAAATTCGAAGGAAAACCAGCAAGCATAAAACACAGCGTGGGTTAGAGAAAGCTAGTTGCTTAAAGAATGGCCACTAGAATCAGTGGCAGTGTTTGTCAAAGACCGCAGACAAAGCTGCAGCCTGCCTGGGTGGAAGAAGCATTCTTCGGCTTCTCAGGGCAGTAGGGGGAGGTATGGACTCAGGCTACAGCTTTGCGTAGGAAAATCTGTCAGGAAGGTGGACAAGAACTCAAAGAGGAATCGTAAATTGGAGGGCGAAGGGACTGATGCCTGTTCTCTGCCTGCTGAAATGCCCTGGTCTGCCGGAGTGCCTTCCGTGGCTGCCTCACTGTGCAGTATGAGGCCTCTTGTGGGAATGCCGCTAATTGCTGTCTGCCGAGGTGCTCCTCTCCCTGGCAGGATGGTCCTGGTGGACAAAAACATTGGTGTCTAGATACTGGGGAGCTGCAGTAAAAGTGCCTGATTTAGGGTACAGAGTGCATCTAATTCCCCCTTTCTTCTGTTAAATCACAGCAAAGGGGACTACTTTAGATGGCTAATAGATTACCCAGCATCTGTGCACTATTTTGCATGCCTCTAGCAGGGGAAAATAGCTTGCTCACAAGAGCTGAGGAGTGTTTAGGAGCAAAGTGAACAGATCTCACTGATTCATGTTTTTACCCTTATCCAATGCAGACTTCAAAAATGAGACAGATAAACTTTTACAGATAAACACTTACCTGTCTACTTATCTTCCCTCCCTACCCTTCATTCTTTGTCATGAGTCTTGCTTAGCAAAAATCCATGGCTCCATTTAGAACTTTTATATATCAGCAGACAAAAAGAAATAAATGAAGAAGGACAGAAAATCCTAAAACTCATAATATTCTAAAATGAGAACAAAATTTTTGAGATATTTTTACCTCTAGCAGATACAGCCTTAGGTAACTGTAGCTTGCATTAGATAGTTTAGTATTTAATTTTTGGCATTTGGGGGCACATTCAGAGGGAAATTACATCTGTATAATTTTTTTTCTGTCTTTCTGAGACAAGGTCTCGCTATGCCATTCAGGCCGGCCTTGAGCTCACTTTGTAGCCCAGGATGGTCTCAAACTCACCACGATCCTCCTGCCTCAGCCTCTTGAGTGCTGGGATTACAAGTGTGCACCACCACCCCTGCCTGCATCTGTACAATATTTGAGAAAATATTTTTATACTTTAACAGCTTTGAAGAATCATGGTGGAATGTGGCTGATTATTCAAAAAGGAATGAAGATAACCATGAGCAATACCTGTATTCTCAGACAGGTAAGAACCTTGTCAGGATTCTTCTGGCAGTATCGTGTCTGTTCTTGAAACTCTGTCTCTTGCCTTATTGTAAGGAGACCTAGAAGTCTTCAGGGATTCCTGGCTGGTGGTGCAAAAGCACCAGTGCACTCATGTTTTTCAGATGGTGCCAGCAGCAGAGATGCTCGAAAAGAGGAGCTTTTCCAGCACTTTTATCAAGCACTTCAGAAAGCTTGGGATCGAGAAGGGCCTTCAGACTGCATTGTTGTTTCCATCGACAAAGAACAGAGGTAGCTTTATTTCTTTCTACTTTGTCAAATGTGGTTGTGTACATACCAGGTAGTTAAGGATCCAGCACTGAGCACACACAAGTCACTGGGAGTTGGCGGCTTCTGAGATCCTCTATCAGAACAGTACTTCAGAGACAGCAAGAAGAATGCCACTGGGGTGACCAACTTGGAAAGAGGGTGACATTGCCAAAGATAATTTCATAGCCAGCTTTTCTGCATCGCTTGAGGTTTTGTTGTTTACAATGAGTGTATCAGTTTTATAATCAGAAACAACTAAAACTATTGTGAGGGGAGTAAGACGTGAGTACGTCTTACCAGTCTGGGTTCTGGGGATTCTTTCTGAACATAGTTGATGAAACCTTATCCCCTGGGACACTGGACCTCTAATATGGTGTGCCACAAGGTTGGTGTCATTGACCTTCCAGAGAAGGGTTCCTCTTACGAGACTTCTTAACTATTTCTTGAATTCCTCTGGGCTTTTTTCTTCTGTCTGGGTTGCTCTCTCTCTCCCATCCACCTGCTTTACTCACGTGGGCCACTTATGTCTAGGTGGATCCTGGTCTTCTGACTGTCTTCTCTGGTTCTGTCCTGTAGACTGTGCCTGGCTCATCCTTGAGCCCGCATGGTACCCTGATCTCACACATCCTTAATTGACACTTGTTAGGCTGTGTTGGATTGTGGGTTTGCCTCTCTCTCCTGTCTTTAGGACAGACAGCGACTTCATGTGTGATGCTAACTATAGCTCTGGGTTAAGTCAAGTTTCATAACACTTGGCAGGGCCTGGTAGGGAGATAGCGTTTGGTGGAATGCTGCACCGTTTCCTCAGGCTAGGTATTCGCCGAGCAGTACTGAGGACCAGACAGGATGAGAACTGACAGTCTCAGCACAAGGAGACCAGGCATGCACAAAGCCTAACTCTGCATTGAAGGTAGCACTGGACCTTTTCACTTTTCATATTATAAAAATCTGCAGTCCTACAATGACTTGGAAATTTTACTCATTGATATTCCCTTTACAGAAGTTGGCTTCAGTTTCAGATACCATCTTTTCTTTATGAGATTTCAAAAGCAAAATTATAGCTCCATCTCATTTGGAAGGTATTTGGGTTGCATCTTGGGAGACGGTATATGAGAAAAAATGAGGTCAGTCACAGCACGGGAGGGTAGGAGAGGACAGTACCTTTTACAATGGAAAATGATGGAATTTCCCTGGAATAATTGAAAGGCAACCAGACATGCCCTGGATTAATTTGATCATGGAGTAATTTAAACTGATTTAGAACCCAAAGGCAGTAAGGACTCAGCATGCATTTGTTTCTTCAGCGTTTAGCAACTTTGCTACAATACTCTGCATCAGCCAGGGTCACCGCATTAATCTTTGGATAGATTAGCGTTCTCAAAACTCGTAGTGAGTCTCACATCTGACTTTTAGCGTCTTGTGCTTCCTTTAGAACTATGACCGACTCCAGCTGCCACTGGACTTACACAACCCTGATACTCTTGCCATCTTCCCATCTTCAGAGCCAGGCCGACTGGTGTTCATTTGAGGGCAGTCTTTTGTAGTGGAGAGGACTGGAGCCTGCGTTTCTTCTCCCCCTCCATCTGGAGTGGCATGTGGAAACTACGCCTCAGATGTTGCCCAGCCCCTGCCTGGTGTCCCACAGTCTGGCAGTTGTCCACGGATCAGACACTAGAGTAGATGCAGCTCAGAAACTCCTCTGCCACTGTGCAGCCAGCAGCTGCCAGGGAACCCACGATTTAGGGCCTGCTGTTTGCACTGTTGTCACTTTGATGTTGGGAAGATTTGTAGTGATAAATTAGTTGGCTAATTCATTCCTTTATATACCCAAACAGTAATTAATTTTTACATCATGTCATCCAATGTAAATCATTTTTGTAATTTTGAATCAAAGCTGTCACTCAGTAAATATGAACCATGTCTTTGTTTTCCTTGAATTTATTTTCTGTAATCTCCCATACTTTCCTAAATTGCCAAGGATACATTTTTCCTGTCATCTTATTAAGTTTTTAATTCACAAAACATATGTTTAATGTGCACTTAAGTGTGTAAACCTCCATGCTAGGCACAGAAATGAACATAAGGGTAATTAAGTAACAATTCCTATTCATAGGACATGCAGTTTAAAAAGGTAGAACGAATGTAAATAACAAGTAAATGATGTGCTAAGAGTTTTCCTGATAGAGCAGAAGGTCCATATGAGGAAGAGTGGATCACTATAGTTCAGGGTGCAAGGAGGTGAGGTGAGGTTTCAGGAATGTCATCTGAGTTGACCTTCTGAGGTGAGGACTGGTAAGTGATAGCAAGCAGAGTGGCAGGGCCGGCACAGGTGGAAGAAATGTGTGGGAGAGTTGATTGTCCAGGGCCCGTAGGAGTTACATTTGGCAAGAGAATGGGATATTTGAAGCTCAGCAGGTTACAGAACCTATTAAGATAAGTTAAGTCCTATCTCACCAGGACTATGAATGCTAAGGTAAGGAGCTTAAGATGCTGAGCAGTTATTGTGGCATTTTTGAAAATAACACTTCTAATAAGATAATTCAGAGACTGAGGTACAGGATGGATTGTCATTGAGGAAAGAAATTGAGGGCAGAGAATGTGGTAGGGGTTTGCAGATTTCAAAGCGAGTGTATTGGGCAAGACCAGCAGCATCAATCTGATGGAAAGGCCTGGGACACAATCCCTGAGACTTGAGAGTGAGGATGAATAACACAAAAGGATTTTGGTTTTGATCCAAGGTTAGTTACAGGCTGGTTGATGTTGGCTAACTTTAGTGTCACCGATTCACTCTGTAGCAAGGCGTAATCAAGTAGTGTTGCCATATCTTCTGAATGTAAGTGTCTCATCTGTTCTTTAAACCAGTCTGACATTTTCTGGTGTGGTCTTTCAACTGAAATGAGTTCATCAAATAGCACTTGTGTGTTTCTATCTCGAGAAAGGACATTCATGATGCTCACCCATTACACTGGGCTAAACAAAAACACATCCCTGCTTTCTTTATACAATTAAATGCATAGTCACCATATGAAGAATTACATTTTTACAACATACGGTTTCTTTTTGTCAGAGTTGCTGCTAGTGCCCTTAACTGAATCCATTAGACAGATAGCATAGCTAAATGTTTAAATGTGTTTTAAGAGTAAAAATAAGTTGTGGGATATGCATGGTTTGAAAAATACATATATAGTAGCTTATCTAAATGCAGTAAGAGTATACTATCTTACCCTGCCAATTGGTCTATAAAATATCTATGTATCAACAGCTTGGTGTCATGGAAGTTTTTCCTTTTGTTGATTGCCTCTTTCATGTGTGTTTTTAAGGGAATATGCAACAGCAATAGGTCATCGCTTGCGGGATTGTGGTCTCGTGGTGGAAACAATTCACCTTGCCTCTGATCTGATCCTCACTCGCACACTGCAGGAAGTTAAAGATGATGGTTTCCCCTTTTGTATTCTCGTTGAAGAGTCTAACGTAAAACATACTTCTTGCACCGTAATCATGCTTCATGAGTCAATCAAAAGTAAGTGTGGCTTGATCTAGAGCTGTCACTGAATACATATTCTATTTTAACTATATAATCTTTTTTTTATTTGAATGTTGGCACAGTTTGAAGGTTCGTGTATGTCAGTAGCTAAACCAAATCTAGTTGAGGGGGAAAAAGACTTGAATAAGTATCATGAAGTACTCTTGTGGTGTATTATTAATAGTTGAAACCTCACTGTCATTGCTTATTAAGAATCCAAAGCAGGGACTGGTAGTACCATCAGACAGCACACCTGCTATGGAGGCTCCTCGTCACTTGTACCGATAGACAATCATGAGTCTGTGATGAGAGTTGAGACAGTTGCAACAGCCTGCAGTTGGGTTAACTTTTTTCTGATTGTCTTTTCTTGTATTTTGCAAATGTGTTTTTAACATATCAGGGCTCCTGGGTTATAAAAAAGACCCAGCATTTGGGAGGCTGAGACAAGAGGATCACTTGAGTATGTGAATTCAACAGTGAGAGCCTGTCCCCATCCCCCCAAAACCCAAGAGATACCATTCAAAACATTATACACCAATTCTGTTGTTTTCTGTAGAGATTTTCCCCAAATCTCACTGACTTTCATATCCTTGATAGTAAGTTTCAGTGACCCTGTATGTTCATCCTCCCCTAGATACTCTTAGACTCTTTTAGTTATCTATTACAAAATACTTAAGATAATCTCCTTAAAATGAAGAAAGGTTTCTTTTGGCTCATGGTGTTAATGGTTTCAGTCCATAGACAGGTGGACCCACTGCTTTTGAGCCTGTGGCACAGTGACATATTATGATGGGAGCAGAGGAATCTGCTCACCTCATGGCAGCTGAGAAGTGAAAGAGAGAGGAGAGGGCCTGGGGTTCCTGCCAAGGCTTCACCTCTTATAAGGGTTCTTCCACCTTCCAATAGAACCATGGCTGGGGCCAAACCCTTAGTGTGTGGATCTTCAGGGGACACTTATTCAAGCCACAGTTAAGTACCATCCCCAAAATTATTTTTACATTTTTCACAATGTCTCATCCATTTCCTTGTCCTTTAATACATAAAAATGAACTCCTTTTCTCTTAGGATCTACCTTCATTTTTTTCCCCCTGCTGGTCAAAGCACTACTTCCATTCTTGTCTTGACCCCAGCCCCTGAGCTGGACAACAGAGACAAGGAGTGGCAACCATTCCAGCCCCAGGCATTTACAACTGGATTCCCCTCCCCACCAAGCAGAGGGAGGGCGGCTGCATGGACCTCCACATTTGTATCTAAACTCACTCCTGTCATACCAGTGTGAGTTTCCTAGTCCTTTCTTTTTTGCAAAAGCTCCTGGTTCTGCTCTATTCAGTGCAGACCTGTTGAGTGCCTCCTTTACAATAGGTACTGTGGAAGATGTCAGGCCAACCCTGCTTTGTTTCTCTGCCTAGGTAAGCAGCAGGCAGGCAGGCTCCTCTAGTAGGCTCAGGCTTGTCCTTCCCAACAGGGATTGAATGTTCATTGATAGACCAGGAAACCTTTCCCTTGAGCAGAGACCCGTGGAGCGCTAATAGATGGATGTAGTTCATGCCTACAGTTTCTAGAACCCCAGCGAAGTGCATGTAGGATGGTATTGAGGAAATACATGTGTGGTTCATATAACCTGTGATGTAATGTCCAAAATCGGTGAGTGATCACTAGGATCACATTAGACTTGAAAGACGAAAATGATGAGCACTTGCTTCGCTTCATCCTGGGGAAGCCAGAATAAAAGCCAGTCTTATTCTGCCTTTTCATGTCTTTTGCTTCTGTGTGGCTTCCACACCCACCTGGCTAGTACTTTCTCAGTGTTATATACAGGATTGTGAAATTATGTTTTTTCTAGGTGAATAAATACGTAATTTGTAAGTCTAACCACATTTATGTTATACCCAAGTTCTGAAAATATAAAAGAATGCATACTTTGTATAATTACAAATCTCAGTCTCACGGGGTGGGGGAGGTGGGGAACATTTTAATTTGAAACAGTTGTAAAAAAACTAATTATGTCTAGTTACTTCAGTATTTACATTATGCAGTATCACTTAGGAAATCATCACTAAAGTAGGTAGGTTGAATAATTTGTTGACTTCAAAAATACTTTTAAAAAATCAGCTCTATGAAAAAGTGATCATTTTAACATATTTAAGTAAATAATTTTTTTCATTTCCAGAATAGTATTGATAGGAACAGATTTCATTTGTCAACCATGAATTACCTTCTAATTTCATATCCTAAATTTTAAAAATACTTTTTTTCTTCTTAAGCTATATGTATTTTTTAAAATTGTTGTTGGAAACAGAATCTCACTGTGCAGTTCAGGCTGGCACCCTCGGCAGTCCCTCTGCCTCAGCCTCCTGAGTGCTGGGGTTACAGACGTCTGCCACCAACGTCCGGCCAGCTACAAGTATTTTAGCAGAATTAGCCATAGTTGTACTCTGGGCTTATATTCAACAGTTTGCTTCACACCTTGCAGCCTTTATTCAGAGGTATGTAGAGGTGCTTCGGTACCAAGATAAATATTTAAAATAGTCAAACAAGCAAACTTCAGGGCTCAAAGGCAAATACATATTTATATTTTTCCTAAATGTAACCTTAATAAACACAGTTTAAGATTTAGCCAAGTACTATCACTTCCATTGCAGCTTTGTAGCGCTCCTTGGCTTCTAAATTCTTCAGAGCCTAATGATACATGGTAAGACAGGCTGGGGGCTCCCATGTAAGGTTAAATTTTTATTAAGTCTTATTCTCAGCAGATAGACCTGGGAGACATGAGACAGTATCTGTGCGCTGCCTTACCTGCGAAGTCAAGGAAAAGTCACTGTTGGTGTCTAGAATTTATTTTCCGTGTAACATTTTGCCTGGAGCACTCCCGACCTGACCTGAAAAGGCTTTTCACAGGTTTTAAAGGCCAACCTGGAGCTAGAAGTCCTATGCAGAAGGTTCAGTTTACTCTTCACATGGCAGTGACAGAGCCTGAAGTTGTTCCAGCAGTCTGTCCTTCTGCTTCTTGTCAGTGTACTACACATGTGCACACACACACACACTCACACACACACACACAGAAATGAGCGTGAGAAGGCTGTAACGGAGACCAGCAGTTCCTTGCTGCTCCCTTTTCTACTGTGATGCTACCCTAAAGGCTGCCATTCACAGCTCTGCTTGTTTCTTCTATGAATCCCTGATGCTGCCTGATGCTGGAACGAAATAAAACATCTTTGCTTTTGTTTTTGTTTTGTTTTTTGAAATTGCATCCTGTCCTTTAGGCTAAGTTTCTTTAGACATAAGAATTTCCATTGACACATATCCTATTTGTACCCCTGGTGCCGCTTGCTGTAATTTTGAAACAGAAAGTAGTGTTTGACTTTGAAATCTGCCAGCGCATCTGCTAGGGAGGCTCCACATCACTGGGATCGATAGACAATCACATCTGTGATGAGAGCCAAGACAGGTTGCAACAACTTGCAGTTGGATTAATTCTTTTCTGATTGTCTTTTCTTGTCTTTTTGTAAATGTGTTTTTAAAAAATCAGGGCACCTGGGTTATAAAACAGCCTCTTTCTTGTTCCCAGTACATCGTCATATGCCCCTGGAGAATGCACTGGTGCTAGTGACTAAGGAATTTAGGAGATTTTTCGAAAGACGAAGCACCGGAATTTCTCAGAGGGCCATGAATCTGGTGGATGACTTCATGGCCCGTGAGGGCCTCTGCAGCTACTGCCTGCCTTCGTACGTTCGGCACCTTCTCTTCCTGTTAAGTGAGGGAAAGCATTTGTATGGAGAGGAGCTGAGCCTGATCATTGACTACTTGAAGACAAGAAAAGAGCAACTGGAAGGTATTTAGCACTGGCCCTTTCCGTTTTCCATTTTAAAGCCCCAGATAATGCTTTTTCTGCAAATCCATGTGTGAGAGAAAGCTGCATATTTCTCATTTAGCGAGATAATATGCACCTTGAATATGTGTATAATACAAAAGTAACAGACTTGAATGTTTCAGGTAGGAATATACAATATTCATATTTGATTGTTATGGACCAAAGTGCTTCTTCTGAAGCCGAATTTTCTTTTGAATCAGATTTTTATTAAGTATACAGGCCTTAATGAACAGATGTACACATAAGAAATAATTCCAGTTCCCTATCAGTTTGCTTTCCTGGTTCCTGATCAGTTTGTTGTTGTTGCTAACTGAGACATTTATAAGATTCCCCCGCTACCACCTTATTTTTTTTTCCCCAATCCTGGGGATCAAACTCAGAGTCCTGCACATGCTAGTAAAGCTATGCTCTTAGTCCTATAAGATTATTTTTAAGCATATAGTAAGGATGGAAAAACAGTTTCTAATCTTGATTTTAAAGAACTTTTCGGTTACACCTTAGTTCCTTAAAGGAGAGACTTTAGTTTGCTTGTTTTGAGAGAAGTACATAACACAGAGATAATAATCACTTATCTTTTTAAGGAAAAAATAGCTGGCTGAAACACACCTAAGATATATTAAAACTTTAAAAGTTGTTCATCCTATAAAATTAGGATGTTCTGGGGTTTTTTTGGTAAACTTTAAACGTAACAGTTTTATTTATTTTTGGTTAGAGAACCCTGTGAGTGAGTGAAAGGGAAAACATTTTCCCTGAAGAGGTAAAAGCAAAGCTATTTCTTGAACAGCCTGCGATGTCCTTGTGCAGTGTGCGGACACTCAGCTAGTTATTTCAGCTAGTTATTTGTTTTTCTGCCTTCTTCAGGCCAAGAGATACCAGATCCTTCAGCCAACAGAGATCCTGCCTCATTTCAAGGCAGCAGCACTCCCATCACGGACAAGCTGCCCCCACTACTTCCTACTCCAGGCACAGAGTCCTTTGTGGGTGCCCTTCCCTCAGGCCCAGCCACATCCCTCGGGTTAGGGGACAGGCGAGGAGGAAGCCTCCTTCGGCTGCCAGGTCAGTGCTTTCCGCAGCAGCTCTTTTGCTTCACAAGGGCGCCTCTGAGAGAGCCAGTTTCAAACAGTGGTGAAGTGTGTCCTGTCATGGTTTTAATGAATGTTAAAAGAGCTTAGAAGACCAAATAGTATCACCATTTCGGCAGGTGATAGTCCTCCTGAATGAGTCACCCAACTCTCATTCCAGGAAAAAGCTTAGAAGAAGTTTTCTATCAAGGTTCATGGCCATGGTTAGAGCCACTTAATCTGAGATCTCATAATACAGTGGATATTAAGCCTTTTTTTTTTTCTGGGGCGTGACATCCACTTAAAATGAGATTGTATTACTATGAACTTTTTTTGTAGTGACAGAAGCCCAGCTCAAGTGAGCATGAAACAAAGCAAAATCTGGAATCCCAAGAGGTGTCTAACTTCAGACCTAGTCAGGTCCCATTGCTCAGATGGGTTACATCTATCTCTTCTCCCCGAGAGGAACCTCCATGAAGTATAACTATGTGGGGTGCAGACACCCACTCAGACCTCATCATCAGCTCCAGGTCTCATTTACCTATAACTCTGCAGGGCCTGGTGTGTCTGGAGCCTGAGCCTTTCCCTCAAGGGCTGAGTGTTATACCTGAGAGCTGTAGCTGTCTCTGTGCACTCCACTCTGTCAGCATTCCCTCTGTGGTCTCAATCTTCCTGATATGTGTGAGCATCTTTCACTTACCCTTGTCTGCTCTCCTGTTCCAGAAGATGAGTTGCCAGTTAAATCTTGGTAGGAAGGTGGCTTTTCATCTGGACAGTAAATAAAATTTAAATTTAGGCATATCTCTTTTTTTGGAGGGAGAGTGTCAAGTTTTGGTGGTTTATGTTTTACTTTGTTTTTGTGGTGCTAGAGATTGAGCCTAGAGCCTTGCAAATTCTAGGCAGATACTATACCACCAAGCTATGCTTCCAAATCCTTGGCGATGTCTTTGTGCATAAGAGTCAAATATTGCTTTGACCTTTTATGTGAACAGGAATTATTTTAGCCAGAAATCCTTCCTACTAGCACATTTCTACCTTGACAATTACTGTAACTTGAAATAGAAGGAGCATAGCCTCTTCCACTGATAGTTACATATGTGCAAATCACTAATTGTCAAGGTCAGTTTGTAGGGAAGAGCCACAGCCTCCAGGTGAGCACAGAGTGCTAGACAGTATGCTGGGCCCTGGGGCAGGTCTGAGCTCCTCTTCTGGGTGGATGGATGGACGTCAGCTTGGTTTCTTGGTTCACACAGAGACTTGGTGAAGTCACCTGGTCTGTTCCTGTGAGAGGGTCATGAGGGAGGGTTCAGAGCAAAATCTTTCTGCTTTCATTTGCTTCCCATCCTTGCCATTAGTTTAAAATTAAAACTCTTCCAGACCTTCACAGAAGATTAGGTGCTTGCTTTAGGGAACTGGCAGGAGTTGTGAGGAAGTGTCCTGTGCCACAAAGGTGAGCGGGATGCAGGACAGCCTGTCTGTCCAAGAACTCAAGACCACTCTGAACTACACAGTTGAGACCCCATCTAAAAAAAAGAAAGAAAGAAAAGAAAAAAGAACTGGAAATCTAGCTCAGCAGCACAGCACATTCCTGGCAAGTGCAAGGTTGTGAGTTTGATTACTGGTTCCAAAAAAAAGAATGCATTTTCTGCTTGACACGGTAGTGCATACCTCTAATCCCAACATTCTGGGAAGCTGAAGAAGGAGGATCACAAGTTTAAGCTCAGCCTAGGCAGTTTAGCAACTTAGTTATAAACTGCCTTAAAATTAAAAATTAAAAAAAAAATACAGGGGGATGAGCATGCAGCTCCTGAGTTCAATCCCCAGTACCACCAAAAACAAACAAACAAACAAAAACCAAAATAGAATATGTTAAGTATCAAAATAGTGTCAGAAACGACATAGGTGCATGCTTCTCATCCCAGCTACTTGAGAGGAGAGGCAGAAGGATTACAAGTTTAAGGTAAGCCTCGGCACCTTTGTGAGCTCCTGACTCAGAAATAGAAATTCAAAAAGAAAAAAAAGATGTAGCTCAGTGATAGAACACTGGCCAGCATACATGAGGCTCAGAGTTCAATCCCCAACATCAAAAAAAAAAAATCAGCTTCAGAACAAAATGTTTAGAACAAGACTCACTTGTGAGAAGGGAAGAGTGGAAGACCAGGATGTTAGGACAGACTGAGACCAGATCAGGGGTTTGCAAACTTTTTTTAAAGGTTTCAATAGTAAATATTTCAGGTTTTGCAGTCCAGGAAGCAAAATTCAGAGTATAAAATACTTATGCAGCTGTTTAAAATTTAATCATCTAAAAATGGAAAAACCATCCTTAGCTGGAAGGCATCACCCGACAGTAGGCTGATTCAGTCCCTGGTCTCCAGTTAGCTGTGCCTGGACTAGGCCATGGATGAACTGTCTGTGTCTAAGAGTTGGTAGAGGTTTTCAGAGCTCAGGCCGAGCCACATGTGTGTGGCAGTTTTTTCTTTGCTTAGCTTCTTTCCAAAGATTTAAGATCACATTGGGAGAACAGCTAGAATCAGTTCCTCATTTGTCCTCTGGTTTACGTTTTTGTTTTTATTCCTTGCAGGACTGGCTAACCCCAAAGGCCTGTTTCCTCCTCCCCTGCTTCCAGTAGGCCTCTCCAAGAGGTCTGTCTCTTTGGGGCACCCAACTGCCATGGCCGCCAAACGCCCACTACGTGGAGAAAAGCCAGGCCCTTTGTTACCATCACCGGGTGAGTAGCCGGATAAGCTAGGAGAGGCATCCTAGCTGGTGCTGTCCTGTAGAGCTTTCTGCGATGATCTAAATGTTCTGTAATGGCACCGTTCAATACAGTAGCCATAAGCCACATGTGACTGTTGAGCCCATGAGTGTGGCTTTAGTGTACCTGAGGACCAGAAATTTTAATTTCACTTAATTTTAGTTAATTCATATGACCACAGTTGTCTGTGCTGATGGCTACCGTAACAGAAAGCACAACTATTCTATCAAGAATCTGTAACAAGATAGGAAAGTGAGTTATGTTTTTACCAAGTAGAGATCTACTCTTAGTCTTTTCCAGCCTCTAGTCTTCGGAAGCTGAGAAAGTACTTGAGAAAGAAATATTGTCTCTCTTTCCTAAGTGGATATCATTATAAATTGCTGTAAGGTAGAAAGTAACCATAAAGGAGTAACACCAAACCAGTGTTACAGAATTCTTGCCTGTTTCAGTCACTTCAGCTTGAGGCTTGCCGTCCACTGGCTAAAACTTGGGACTAATGGTCATGGCACATCAACACTACTGGATGCCCTCTTCTTCTCCTTTTCTGATTCAGAAGGGCTGTGAAAGCTTGGCAAAGGAACTGTCACCGAGCCACATGCCTGTGAATACCCATCATCCTTGGTGGTGTGCATCTCGGCTCAGGGAAGCACATGGCTCCTCCACCTGAGAGGACGTCAGCAGTGTTCTCTGCCGTGCCGAAGGTGCTGCCTGGTCCATTCCAGCCTTGGGTCAGGCTGCACAGAGCAGAGGCTGTGCTCCGTCTTCCTTCCCAGAGTTGTCCTGCCTAGCTCTCATCCTCTAAGGCTGCTTCCCTCCTGTCCAGCTGGGGTGAATAAGGCCTCAGGCCTCTAAGTTGCCATAAGGCACAAGGATAGAGCTTACTTGACAGTCTCATGGGCCAGAGCTGAGAGTACTTTGCAGCCTGGGGTGGAAGTGCCCACTAGGCAGCTTGACTAGAAACTTCATTTCTGGTCAGTTGGGCCTTCTAAACCCAGAGGAAGGAACTACTTGAGTTTCTTCTTAGTTCATTTGAGTTCAGTTTTGAGAGTGAAGTAAAGCCTCAGTTTACTTGCCACTGGGATTGTGTGGTAGTTAAGAGTCCAGGCCATGGGGATCACCTGTTAGGAAAGGGGATTTTTGTCTGTCTCTATTTTTCATGGGAGCAACGTGTTTTTTATGATACTTCATGCTATTTTGAAGTTTCAGTCCTCTGTTTTTTAATCAAACATGTTTCTATGGGATTTAGATTGTGGTGATTGTAGCAAAAGAACGTGCATGCACAGAATGGTACCATGAAAGCAGCTTAGGTTAGTGCCTACTACCCTCCTGGGGGCACAAATGACCTGATTCTACAGGTCTTCAGCTGACAGACTGGAGTGATAAAGCCACCTTTGGGGAAATTTGAAGAACTTTCCTTATCCCAAAGAGGGGCCTCCATTGTTCCTCAGTACTCTCAGCCCCTGAATTCTAGTGCTAATAGTTAGGGAGATGTTTCCAAAAAACAAAAGTGGAAACCAGAAGCGTGCTGGTTCAGAGTGTACCAGTAATCGCTCACGTGCATCGAATTCTCATTGTGGGCCAGGCATGGACGCAATAGCTGTAGTTCTCCTGACAACCCTGGGAGCTAGTTATTGTTATCACCTCTATTTTCTAGATGGGTTGCCCAAGGCACAGAGGATATCATACTGCCCCAAATCACTCAAGACTGTGCAAGTCAGGTGACCCCCGTGGCCTGGACTCTTAACTACCACATGATCCCAGTGGCAAGTAAACACTGCTTTGTGAAAAGAGCTTAGATTTTTTGCTTGAATTGCAGTCATATCATCTTGCTCACAGCTCCCTTTTGACAAAAGACCAGAAGCATCCTCACATCAGCACTGTTCTGATAAGAGCTGCAGAAACTCAGAGGGAGGCCTGTTGTGATGGCCATGCCTCAGCACTCAGCAGGCAAAGGCAGGAGAATTGCTGCAAATTCGAGGCTAACCTGGAATAGCAAGACCCTAACTCAGAACACCAAAAAGAAGAAAGAAAGAAATAGACAGACAGACATTCAGACAGACAGAGGGAAAGAATGAGCATGACTGCATGAGTTTGCATGAAACCCAGAAACCCAAGAAAGAGCTGGCCTTGGAGGAAGTCAGGGGTTTGAGAGCCAGGAGGGAAGAGATAGCCACCTGCAGTGATTTATTGAAGGTGGGGTGGGGCAGATGTTCTAGATTTTTCCTGTTAAATGAAGGCCACCACTCTCATTTAAGTGAGGTAAGTATGATGAAAATCTTTTGGATTCTACAAGAATTGCACACATAATTATGCACTGATGCTGTGCCTGGGTAAATCGGATTCCATTTACAAAGACTGGCACAGCTTGGGGCTTCAGTCAGACCAGTTCAGGAATGGGAAGTGACATGGTTGTCTTCCTCCTCTTTGCAGTTCCTTTGCAGTCAGTGCCCCCAAAGTGGGCAGTTCAACCTGTTTGCCTGCTGAACGGAGGGAAGCGTAGCTAAACCTGAAGAGCAAGGAGGCCATGGCCCAGGTGCTGCCTTCCATCTCCAGTAGACCAAGGTCTTGCTTGACACTGATGTCCAGGCTGTGGGTACAATGTAGCTTCCTTCTAATTCATGATCTTGTGCAGACTTGTTCACTTTTGCAGTCATTTTGTGTCAAACTTTTGTAGTCATTTTGTGTCAAATTTATGGGACATCATTGTTATAGACATTGAAACTATGTTAATTGGCTGTGTGAGCATTAAAATACAATAAAAACTTCTAGTTTTTTGCATATTGGTTGTGCTTTGTTAAAAACTTTATTTGGTGTAGTCTGAGATTTACAGAAAACTTACAAAGATGATGCCCGGGCTTCCCTTCATCCACCTTACCCTCACTGCTAACATCTTATACAACCATGGAAAAAATAAGGAAGTTAGCATCAACACAGTAATACTAACTATATTACTGACTTTATTTGGATCACACTGACTTTTCTGCTCCAGAGTCCTAATATAAGTACCACATTGTATTTAGGCTCATTTTTTGTTATTTTTGTGTTCCTGTCTTTTATTCACAAGCATGTTATTTGGTTTTGGTTTGGTTTGGTTTTTGTCTTTTTGAGACAAGGTCTTGCTATGCAGTGCAAGCTGGTCTTGAGCTCACTTTGTAGCCCAGGCTGGTCTCCAACTTGCAGCATCCTCTTGCCTCAGCTTCCCAAATGGTGAGATTATAGGCATGTGCCACCACACCTAGCTTGGAAATATTTTAAATATAAAGAAATTTGAACAAGTAGTACAGTGAACATCCATATGTCCTCTATCTAGAATGAACAATTAACATTCTGTTGTTTTAACTTACACATATCAGATAATTGTTCTCTATCATGAAAATAAATTGTAGCATTCACGACATCTTATGTTTAAATTCCTTAGTATCCATCTCCTAAGAATAGGAACATACTCCTACATAGTTGTGATGTCATTATCCTACTTAAAATTAACAATTCTATAATCTGTAATATCTAGTTCTAAGATTTGAATTTTCTCAGTTGTCCAAGAATGCTTTTATGTTTTTTTTTCTAAACCAGAATTTAATTAAGGTTTATTCATTGCATTTGGTGTTTAATGTGTCCTTAGTTCCTTTTAATCTAAAATAATCTCCTTAACCTTTTTTGTTTTCCTCATGATACTGACTTTGAGTTCAAGCCAGTTACCATGTAAGGGATCCTACATCTGGATTGTCTGATTGTTTTTCCTCCTCATGGTGTCACTTAACTATTCCTTTGTTCCCTATATTTCTTGTGTCCTGGAAGTTTGATCTAGAGACCATACACTTTTGGTAAAGGTATTTTGAAGGTAGTGTGTGACAAAGATGCATAACTGTAGTCTTGCGGAGAGAGAACCCGTGGCTGGGCACAAGGGTAACCAGAGTCTTTTCCTGGCATCAAGCAAATAACCCATTCCCCACAAGCTTTGGTGTATTTGCCTCCACTCAGTTCTATCACTATTGCCCCTGCCTTCCATTTAATTGTTACAACATCTGAAATGTTAAGTTCAGTAAGTTTTGAGAAAAATGTCCATGTAACTCCTACTCAAAAAGGTAGAGATATTTCCATCACTTCATAATATCCTCATCGCGTCCCTTTGGAGACGCTCCCCCCAGCCCTTTCTCACTTATCTCACTTTAATTATGCCTAGTATCATCATGCAGTTCATCTGTTGTAGGTACTCGCTCCTTAGCTGTTTGAGCCCACAGACTGCCCCTTTTGTTGCTGAGCAGGTCATTGTATAGATCATATCCGTCCATCTTCCTAATGATGGCTTCTAGCTTGATTTCCACATTCAAGGTAAGATAAGATTGCAGTGACCACTTATGTACATAGCCTTTTGTGGATGTGTATTTTTGTTTTCCTTGGTGAAAAGCTTAGGAGTGGAAGTGCTGGGCAATAGGTGAATGTATGTTTGATAACAATTTCCAGAATGGCTGTACCACTTTGTTTTGGAGACATGATTTCACTGTACAGTTTAGGCTGGCCTTGAACCCACTATGTAGTCCAGGCTGGTCCAGAGCTCACTGTGATCCTCCTGCCTCATCCTTCCAAGTGCTGGACTTCCAGGCACACACCATCATGCCTCATTGACTTTACCATTGTACACAGTCACCAGCAGTGTCTGAGAGCTCTGGTTGTTCATGCCGCTATCCATTTGCATGTTACCAGGGTTTGATTTTGGCCCTTCCCGTAGCTATAAAATGGTTTTATAATTTTAATTTCATTTTTCTGATGATGGCTGATGTTGAGGACCTTTTTTGTCTCATCGTTTATCTGTTAGGAAGACTTTCAAAGGCTTTTTTGTGAGTATGTTAGTTTGCTTGGACTGTAACATAACTACCACACCTGGTGGCTTAAAAGAACAGAAATTTGTCACATAGTTCTGGAAACCAGAAGTGCAATATCAAGGTAATTCCCTCTGAATGCAGTGGAGGAGGATCTGTTT